CCCAATGAGTGTAAGAGCACTGAAATGAGTTAGAGACATAACAGCTGAGTTCTTTTGATATATTCTGTGAAACAGCTCACCCAGATGACCTGCACTTCCTGTATCACAAACAATGATGTAATGATCAAGCAGCGGTACTCCTTTTCACTGATCCCATTAAACTGCTCTGTCGGCCATCCTTCCCCACCCTGCATGTAGTTTTGGGCTGGCACCAAAGTCTTGGAGAACCATTAGGTACGAGAATTACCTCTTCAATCAGAATGTCCAGTCCAAAACATTGATCCAAGATCCAGGTCAGTCCAGAATAAGACATTTTTCTTCCTAGCCCCTAGCCTGGCCTGCCTTCAGCCTGGAAGCCTACCCAAAGGCCCCCCGTTCTTTCCCCAACACCTCCTCTCCACTTCTCGCTTTCCCTTCTTGCTTTCACTTTCACATGTCGGGGCAGGTTGAGCTGGGCCCTGCTCTGGATATGGCAGGTGGACGGTGGCTAACTCCTGTGGGGGGCTTGGTGGGATTTCTGGAGCCCTCTCCACTGGAGACTGAAGACCAGCTCCCCTGACTCAGGCAATGTCTGGATCCTCTCACGCTCACATCAACCCGCTGTCTGGCACCCTCCAGTGCTCAATTCTTGCTGGTGAATGAATGAAGGAGATGAGGGAAAAGACAGGAAGGTAGCAACGTTCCCTCCATGAGCTCCTTAGGGAAGGAGATTTTTATGTGAGTAGGTCATCTTTATCTGATCTTGTGCTTTTAAAAACATTCCCCTTAACCTACGGTTAAAAAAATGAAGGACCATTTCATTCTCGCCCACTTGTGACTCCGACGGTACGCAGAGTCAGATGGAGCAGGTGGTAACCTGTGGACACAGCTGCGGGCTCCTTCATTAGTGCTGTTCCACGGTCTGTAGAATTCCTCAAACAACTGATCCGAGTATCTCTCCAGAATCAGTGGATCAATAAGGCTATGCGGGAAAACCAAAACTGCTCTAGATTATACACACCAGGCCTCGGACACACACTCGAGTGCCAACCTCAGAGCCCCGCCCTCTCCTGTCTGTGCACAGAAGACAAAGCAGCCCCGGGAGCACGGGGTTAAAAGCACTGAGGCCCGAAACCTGCAGACAGCCTGGCACTGGGCAAATGACATGTGAGGCCTCCTAGCAGGAGACGCTTGAGAAGCGTATAGACACCTAACGAAAACACTTCTTTCTCTCAGATTTTCTATACACACAGCCCTGACTTCTGGTCCCCTGGGGGCTTTAGTCTCTGTCTTGGCTGACTTCGCAAACTGTAAATGCTTGAGAATGACCTCCTGGAGAGAATGAACAACAGCAACATGAACACGTAAACTGGATTTGAGCATCTCCCAGGTGCCCAGCACTGCAGAGCCCCGAGGAAGCAGACGCAAAGATGAAGGAGACAAGTTCCGTCTGCAGGGAACTAGGGCTCCTTGTCGGGGGATGAAATGTTCACCTCCTGTCCTTAGCTGGAAGGGATTTGGTCACACCCACCTACAGTGGACTTTATGTCTCTCACGCTTCTTGATTCAATGTTACCTTTAATCCTCCCTACATCCTTGGGGGAGGCAAGAGATGGATGGGTGTTCCCATTCTCAGAAGAGGATATTAACCCCCAGTGAGGCCGAGGGACAGAATCGGGCCCCACAGAAGATACAGTAGCAGATGGAAGAACAGGTGTATCCCGACTCTGGGCTGCAGCTTCCGCTAACCCATAGACAAGGCATGTGGGAGGAACCCAGCCAGGCCTTGTGGCTTCACTTTCCACATGAAAGGCAACAAATGAGTGAAAAAGCACAACAAAATGAAGAGAAACTAGGCAGAATGAGAACTTTTAGAATCAGAAAAAAAAAAAGGCATTCCAGCCTTAACCAAATACTTATTAAAGGAAAGCCTAGAAGGTTCCAGAATGGCATTCTAGCACACACTGCAGGGAAGGAGTTGAGGGTGACATCCTAGGGAAATTTTATTTCTCTGGAGAACCAACACGCATAATTCTGCCACTCTATTTCTCCTGAATTATGTTCAGGGTCGTATCTGCCAATATTAGTTCCCTTCGATGAGAAGTGAGAAATAGATACATGATACCTAATATTTTGTAGAAGACTCAATTCTCTAGATTTTGGGGGGACAAAGCTACATCTTGTCACTTCCCTGAGGCTTTTCTGTTTTCAGTAAATTGAAGTGGTAGTTCTGGTTGGTCTACCATGTGAGGAGAAATGCAACTGTTAGCATGTTTGGCTGTATTTTTGAAAAGATTACAACTTCTGACTCATTTTTTTGGGAAAAGTTATTAATTAAAAATAATCAGGTTGCCACAATAATGTTATAGTCTTCCTTAATGGACTCAACCAGCACAAAGTGAATCAGATAATGAAAAATCCTATCGTCCAAGTCCTTCATTTTGTGAGGTGCAACGATGAGGGTTAACTAGCAGAGTTCTTTCTTTCTTTATGCACCATGGTGGTCCACTTGCTTGGGGTCCGTCAAGCCGGGGCAACACCCACACCTGCTGGGAGCTAAACTGGCTCAGGCTATGCCAGTGTGATGGAGAACTCACGTGAACGAGGAAGGGGACAGGATGTGCACACGATGAGGTTACACCAGGACAATGGGAAACCAACCACAGATCCTTAAAATCTATTCACACATTCAGGGAAGGTAAGAAGAGACAAAGGAGTGAGTGGTAAGAGCTTCCTCTGGCACATCAGGGTCTACATTTTATGCAATAATCATGTCAGGACAAAAGACTGAATATTTGAGCAATGTGTACCATCGACATATGCCTCCAACGTAGAGAAGCTGGGATTCCCAGTGTGGGCCCCTAAGTGGAACCGATGACAAAGTGCTTCCCCACATACAAGCACACCTTGAGTAACAGGCTGCAAAGTAGCTGAACTGTCCGAACAACAGCTAACACTTAGGGTGCTTTTTGGATTACAACTAAAGGCCCCAGGATACAATCTGAATAAAGAGACCCTTGCTTTCATTATCAATCCACTTTCTATTCCAGTGACTTGGTGCTATTCAATCTAATACTGCCTGTATGCACATATATATTTATGCAAGTACAATGCAGCCAAGGTCAAGCCACCTTGGTCAAACACCTTACTGTAAATCTCTTTATCATAGAAGCAAGGGATTCAGTACACCCATCTCCCCATCTCTGAGTTCTCTTCACCCAAAGTAAAGTAAGCCCAGCATATTGTCAATTGCTTTGCAACTCTTTTCTAGCTACTAGAGTTTTATGTGAATTGTGGGGGATTCCTGTTCCAGATTATTAGAAAAAGAGGGCACTGGGGATTGACAGAAAGGAGGTGAGGCTGATAGGGAAGCAAGATTAGAGGTTTTGGAGAGAAGATTTGCAGATAGGAGAAAGCTGAGCCCAGGTCAATCTGGGCTTTCGCTTTCAGCAGGGAAGACAAGCAAGGGGCATCTGCTAAGCCTTGTGTACTGAAGCTACTCCGCGTCTCTGAAGCCACAGCAGGCCCCCGGAATCAGAAGTCAGGACCCCGAGTCCAAAACCAGAGAGGAATGGGATGGACAGTCAGACACAGGAGAAACCTCATTACCATGTACCTGCAATGAGGCAAATGGGACTTACAAGCAGCTCCCTCAGATGATGAGGAGAGACTAGACATTTTCAATGGACTCAGGACGGTTCTCAGAATTTGAGTCATATGGGATCCATTTTTATTTATTTAAGATGTGTAAGATAAAATTTTTACATCCTATATTTAATGTGTTACCTTCATTTTTATTTTAATTAACACTTAAGAATTGTCATGGGCTAACTGATGGTGAGGCCCAAATCCCACTTTTCCCAATTAGTGAATTCTCCCACAGGGATTCCAGGCACCTGGCTCTCTTGTGACCCCAATCTCATGGACTGTTGTCACCAAGGGCCACGTGGCAGACCCATGACAGCCTCTGAGAATATAATGAAGTGAGACCTGGGAGTTCCTTCTTTCTCTTTTTCTTCATTCATTAGCATGTTATTCACATTTTATATGTTTAATGCGTTCTGATCTGAGCCATGGAGGGCTCCCTTCCCTCTCTTTAAAAACTCTCCTGGCAGGGTGCTAGGCAGCCACCTGTCTGCCAGGGCCCGCCCATTATTTGGCAGTGGGTGACAAAAGCACAACGCGTGGGGCGCCTGGGTGGCTCAGTCGTTAAGCATCTGCCTTTGGCTCAGGTCAGGATCCCAGGGATCGAGCCCCGCATCGGGCTCCCTGCTCCGCGGGAAGCCTGCTTCTCCCTCTCCCACTCCCCCTGCTTATGTTCCCTCTCTCGCTGTGTCTCTCTGTCAAATAAATAAATAAAATCCTTTAAAAAAAAAAGCACAACGTGTGTCTCAAGCCCATGAAGCAAAGGAGGCCCTTCCCTTACTTCGTGAAATTGTGAAATGGGTATAAATTTTACAAAGGTGTACTGAAAACACGCAAATAACAACGTGTCCTGTCAGCACGATGCAATTTCAAAGCAGAATACTAGGAACCAAAACATCCAAGGCATGAGGCAAAATATCTCCTAAATCCGCCTGAGAAAATACTCCCTGACCAGACACCAGAGTGTGTGGGCCCAGAGTGTTGCTCATCTCCAGGGGCATCTGCTGTTTACCTCAGCGGAGTACCTGCTGCTTACCTCCAGCTACAGGGAGGGCCCTATGAATGGCACTCCCTGGGGGGCACAGTACGGTGGCTCTAGCGCCTCAGGTGGGTGCCATTGCCTCAAAAGATGAGGAAAGAGGGGAACCAGGCTTCACTCCGGTGTCACGCCAGATCTGATACAGTGGATATTTGGCAAATATGCACGTGTTTGCTTTGATCTGTACATCTATCCTATTTCTTCCCCTTCTGTTCTAATTCCAAGGTTTCAGACCCTAACTCCAAAGCCTCAGAAGGCGTTTTACAAATGTTACGACTTAAAAAGTTGGTTTAAAAAAAAAAGTCCTTGAACGCAATTAACGTTACCACTAAATTACCTGTGCGTGCTTTGAGACCCAGTGACGGAGGACATTCAGGACTCGATTGGTGGCTGTTCTCCGAATAATAAACTCTTTGTCGCATGTCCTCTCAGTGTTGTTAAATCCTTAGGAGGAGAATAAACACACATGTCGTTAAAACCAATCCCCAGGAATCTGGAAAAGGTTAACGGACATGGGTTAACGGACACAAATACACACCTTGGCAGAGAGGTACCAGCGGCTTCAGAATGTGGTGAATTCTGCTTACTTACCTGTTATACCCTCAGCTGTGAGGCTACCACATAGACAACAGGTGCAATTAAATGAATAATGTGCACACATTTATTAAAGGCCACTGATTAAAGCTAAAGCTGATCTAATGACATTTCCATTTATGCCTGCCTTGTTCTAGAACATAAAGCCAAGAAAGTTTTAACAAATATTTAAGTGAACATTAGTTGATACTTCTGTCCCAAAGTCATTATACAACCAATAACATTTTCAACAGTTAGATGGATAGGCCCATACGTAGGTTCATAGATGATACAAATATCTTATTATGCACCCATGTATTGAGAAGCAGGATAGTATAGTGTTTAAGAACATGAACTCCACAGTCAGACTATCTGGTTCCAAATCCCTGTTGTCCTACCCTGGCAAGTTACAGCACCTCTCCATAACTGGGTTCCTTGTGTCCTGCAGGGGCTAATGCGTACCTACCCCACAGAGTTGTTACAGAGATCAGGTTAGTTAATACATGTTAAGCATTTAGAATGACACCTGGAACAATAGTGAGAGCTCAATAAATGCTAGCTATTATTACACTTCAATATTGGTCGAGTGTCTCTGGTTCCCCTCTGTGCCAATGTAGGTCTCGGTCTTGACCACCTTTTCACTATCAAGAAACTATTTCAAATTTTTTTCTATTGAGTCTCCGTTTTAAAAGATTTTACCTTCCAATCATAATTAAGTGACATATTTCTTTTAAAAATGAATGCAAGCCTTATATAACTTCACTGGCAAACTTCCTGAAAGTTGTCTAAACGCACTTGTTCCATTTCCTCCTCTTCTACATGCTCTACACCCTACTCCCCCCATCTTACCACCAAAACAGCTCCTGTTAAGGTCACTAGGAACCTGCATGTCTCTACGGCCAATAGACATCCATCATCTCTCCGTTGGAAAGCTCAGCTGATGAACACTTATAAGCAAATCCTCATGTATTTATATCCCCAGATCTCTTCTCTGGGCTCTGGATCCATATATCCAATTGCTTCTTGATATTTTCCTCTTAGATGTTTCAAAAACCTCAGACCCAATCTGTATAAAAGAAAAAGCCATGGCCTTTCCACCAAACCTTGTCCTTATCCAGTGGTTCCAATTTCATTAAAGGAACATCACTAGCCATCCAGTTATATAAGCCAGAAACTCTGTTTCTTCCTGATAATTTTATCTGCTAAGTCAATCTCAAATCTGTCCATACCTTCATGTCTACAAAGCCAAAATTGAAGTTGAGCTGCCAGCAACTCTCAATCTGGTCTACTGACAGTCGTCTTGTCATTCTTGCTTTCTCAAATCCATTCTCCTCTCTAAAGTGAGAAAGATCTTTTCAAAGGCACAATTATACATGTCATTCCCCTGTTTATAAAGCCCTTCAATAGCACTTATGATAAACAGAAAAGCTCCTTAACACAGCCCACAAGATCTTCCATGGTTTGATTCCTAGCTCCCTCTCAGCCTTTTCTGGAACCATATTCTTCTCACTTCTCCTCTTTCATCTCACCACCCTTCTTTTAGTCCTTCATCCTCACCCCAGGGCCTTTGCACATACTGTGCTGCGTCTGGCACAATTATCGCTCCCCTTTTCACTCAGTGAAAGCTATTCTTGTTTATTTCACTTCCCCAATTAAGCCCTTCCTGGCCTGAGCTGAACGAATCATCACATCTCACAGCACCATATGCACGTTTGCTTTCTGGCACTTGTTCCATTTACAATTTCACATTTATTTATGTAGATGGGGATTGGGTATGTTTTTGTTGAGCACAATGAGCACATATCTGGCATGTAGCAATGCTGTACACAATATATATTTGCTGAATAAATGAATGAAAGCCTGGATAGTGAGAATTTACTATCGAATGTGATTTGAATGTAAAGATGATAGAGTGAAAGACTAAATGAATAGTCCTCAGACTCTATGAATTGAGTGAGACAAAAAAAAAAATCTATGAACTTCTTAAGGGGGCAGAGGCCCCTTTTTGCATACTGCTCTTTGGATGTGGACAGGCCTCTTCGACCCTCTAGCAGACAACCATCAGAGGATCATGATGACGTGCTCTTGGCAGAATACATCTCTTTTTAAAAAAATCTTTTGCTATTAAAAGCTTAAAAATTCTGGGTATAATAAATATCTTTTAAAATGCACAGCTGAGTTCTCAAGAAAATAAGGAATTTTCCAAGGTCAAACACACAGGGACCTGAAAACCAGAACCAAGCCTCTGAACTGATGTTAGCAGCCCCAAGAGGAGAGCAGCTCACCAGCCTCGGTAACACAGGATTTGGATTGTAAATCCATGTGGTTCAGGAGAAGCCCCAGGGCCTTCATGAAGTATGAGTGAGAGAATGGGAACTGAGACTCCCACATAAAGCTGGAACTCTCAAAAGACCAGTCCCTCTGTGAAGAGCAGACTGGGGGAAAGTGCTCCAAGTGCCCAAGGAGACAGTTAAGAAGCTTATCTGTCTCAGCCTGAATCTCTGTGAATGTGGGGGAAAAAAGCCTCCCTGAGAATTGATAGCCACAGGCCCACTTCATATAGATTTGAAGCTCAGATTAAGCCACTATTGGATGGTCTGTCCCTCTAAATGAGAAGCTAAAAAGTGGCCCAGGCCAGTGATAATCCTGGTACCCCTGACAAAAGTATACACAAAACTCTCTGGAGGGACAGAAACTCAACCTCAGCCTGTACCGGATCACCACTAAAACAAAACAAAACAAAACAAAACACAACCCAAAACAAAACAAACAAAAAACAACTCTGAAGAAAAACTCACAATCCAATATTACAAAACACTCAAACTGTTTGCCATAAACAAGGGTTGGTAGACACAGGGATGAGGAATGCCCCACCCCACCCTCCACCACCACCAAGAATTCCAGGTACAGGGCGCCTGGGTGGCTCAGTTGGTTAAGCGACTGCCTTCGGCTTGGATCATGGTCCTGGAGTCCCGGGATCGAGTGCCGCGTCGGGCTCCCTGCTCAGCGGGGAGTCTGCTTCTCCCTCTGACCCTCCCCCCTCTCATGTGCTCTCTCTCTCTCTCTCATTCTCTCTCTCAAATAAATAAATAAAATCTTTAAAAAAAAAAATTCTAGGTACAAGAACTATTAGATAGATCCAGTTCAAACTAAAAATGTTTACAAAGACTAGTGATATAAAAGTGGGAACTGAAAACATGATAAAAGAATAAAAAAATTTTAAAGTCAGATTTTACAAGAATCACATAACACTCCTTCAAAGCTGATAGAATTATACTTTCAATTATTGTTAAAAAAAATAGAAGAGTTGAAGTCGAAAACTCAAGGATAGATAAACACTGATTAGACAGACGCCACTGAATAAACAAACAATGAACTGGAAAGAGATTTAAAAAACAGACTTGAGGGGCGCCTGGGTGGCTCAGCTGTTAAGCGTCTGCTTTCGGCTCATGTCATGATCCTGGGGTCCTGGGATCGAGCCCCGCATCGGGCTCCCCGCTCGGCGGGAAGCCTGCTTCTCCCTCTCCTGCTCCCCCTGCTTGTGTCCCCTCTCTCGCTGTGTCTCTCTCTGTCAAATAAATAAAATCTTAAAAAAAAAAAACAGACTTCAGAAAAGTACTCAAATGCAGTCCAAAGAGTTTAAGAGAGAAAACAGAAAAAAAGGTATTAAAAGACATGGAGGAAAGAATTCGAAGTTCCAACAAAAAATCAGAAGATCAATATAGGAAAATAATTTTTTTACTTGATGGAAGATATGAATCTTTAGGTTCAGGAATTGCAATGAATCCCAAGCAGGATAAATAAAATCAAAGCCACACCTAGAAAAACTGCAAAATGATGGAACTCCAAGACAAAGATAACTTTGAAGCAACTGGTGAGGATATATTTATGATCTGTAAAGGAAAGGCAGCTGAAAAGGATAGGAAATGGTATGGGGAATGGGACAAGTAGACGAGAAGGCTCAAATCAACCAAATTAGAGTAGAAACTTCAACTGGGGTGAGAGCTGGGGAATAAGGCGGCACCATCATTTTGCCAGAGGATGGAAGTCAAAAGCTCTTGGAACACTGGAAAAGGGTAATGAGACAGAGTCCCCCACCTGCATACATAAGGATGGCCAATCAGTGAGATGAGACTAGAAGATGGGAGTGAGAAATGGACAGAAAGATAAAAATCAAAGTGAAATATTAAGAAAGAAAAGCAATTTTAACAGAGCTGCTACTCCTTTAATGTATTTTGGAAAAAGCATCTATTACTACTTGTCTCTGCGTCTGCATCAGGGGTAGGTGGCAGGGGAGTTTTATTTTGAAAGAAAGGCAAGGAACACTCTTCTGCTCTCCAAGTTATTTCGTGTCACACATTAAAAGGCCACTTAAGGGATTTTCTTTATCAAATTTCCAATATTTCCATTAATTCAAATCTCAACCTCTCTTACCATTTAGATTAGGATTTGATTATACGGCTTGGATGTTCTTCATAACTCCTTCTAATAACCATGTTATTTATCTTTTCTGTGGCGATCACAGCTCGGTCAGTTCTCACTATCTCTGCTGCTCAGAGCGCATCACCTGCTGCCACTTGCAGGACTCAACATGCTCTTGGAAAGTGACCGGGTACTCACTTAAGCTATCCCCAACCATGCGCACTCAGTGCAGGCTGGGACAATGCACAGCTGGTAGGAAAGGTGACTAAGATAGCAGAAGCAGCCTTCCAAGTGCTGCAGGAACGCTGAGAACCAGGGAGGGAAGGCTCCAAAGACACACATTCCACTGCACCCTTCACAAGGCAGGCCATCCCTATATGGCTCCAGGATGGACAAGAAGTAAAGTCCAGAGCAAATCACTTAACCTCTCTGTGGCTCAGTTTCCTAAC